TGGAAAGGGGACTGAATTAGCTATTCTGACATTTAAGTCTGTCATTATTCGCCAGCTGTTTCCACATTCAGCTGTGATCGATACGTGTCCATATATTTGTAAAGACCATGTATATCTTGGCAGTCTTTAGTTTCTAATGACTCTTGCGACTCAGAATTTTCCGTAATGGAATCATTGAAACTCATGAGTTTTTGCTACAAAAAACATTCATGCATTTTGGTTCTTTCATAGATTTATTATAGGTCTTCTGGAAAAGGGACAAAATCTTCTGGGTCAAAAAAATATAAATAACAATTCTAATATTTGGTTAAATGTCCTTTGGCCATTTCACCTTAACTATGCATGTTTGGGGGCCATCCACAAACTTCAGGCAAGCTTCCGGTTGTATCTTTGACCACTCCTCTTGACAAAATTGGTGCAGTTAAACTGAATTTGTTGGCTTTCTGATGCAGACTTGTTTCTTCATCACAGTCCACAGGTTGATGATGGGGTTTAAGTCAGTACTTTGCGAAGATCAGAGTAAAATCTTAATTCTGGCCTGATTTAGCCATATCTTTACCACTTTGGATGTGTGTTTGGGGTCATTGTCTTGTTGGAACAGCCAACTGTGTCCAAGATCAACCTTGTGGCTGAAAAATGAGGAAGTAATCCTCCTTCTTCCTTACTTCATTTACGTTGTGTAAAGCACCAATTCGACTGGGAGCAAAACACTCCCAGAGTATAACACTGCCACCGCCATGCTTAAAGGTGGGTTCAGTGTTCTTGGGGTTGAGGGCCTAAATTTCTTTCCTCATTGTCATTGTGGCCAAAAAGCTCCATGTTAGTTTAATCTGACCACAGAACTTATGGAAGACCTTTTCTTTGTCCATGTGATCAGCAGCAAACTTCAACTGAGCCTTTACGGTGCTGCTCTAGAGGAAGGGCTTCCTTCTTACACAGCAGCCTGTCTGATATAAAACACACTTGACTGTGGACACTGACATCTTCTAATTCATTGCAGATTTGAGTTTTGGTGATTCTTGGTTGACTCTTGACCATCCTGACCAGTGTTTTTGTTCCTGATCGTGGCAGTAACAAAACTGTGCCATTCACTTTACATCTACAGTTGTTTGTGCTGCTGATTTTGGGATCTTAAGCTGCTTTCAAATGTCTTCGAGGGACTTTCCTGACTTGTTCAAGTCAAGGATTTGCTCTTCAAAACTTTGCTGAGCTCCTCAGGCTTTCCAGTTGTAGTGTTTGCAGCCGAGTCTGATGAGTGTACCAAACAGGTCCTATTTCTGTGACACTTATATGGACACTACTGCCTTTACTACCTCTGCAGCACAACTCATACTGTTGCTGGCTTCTGGCCTGCCACTGCACATAATCTGCTGCTTTCGCCCACCCACCTTTTTTGTGTGCTTTTTTTTCTTTCTCATTTTTAAAGTGTTGCTCTTTGCCCACCTAGTTACCCCTCGGAGATAAATAAAGTTTTTTCTGTTTCTGATTCTGATTAAATGCGCTTGGAGGAATCAGAAGTTGTAGTCAGTTGTAATCACAAGGCCATGCCACCAAGAAAATGTGATTAACACAATGTCCAACAGCAACAAAACTGATCATTCAAGTAGCTGCATGTATTGCAGCAGATTTTGCCATATCTCCAGCAGACTTGTAATAAATCTATGAAAGAACCAAAATGCATGATTGTTTTTTGTTTTTTTGTTTGTTTCAAATTTTCCATCACAGAAAATGAAGAGTTATAGGAGTCTGATCTGAAAAAAGACTGAAAAAAGATACACATGGTCTTTACATGTGTATGCAAACTTTTGTTCACAGCTGTATATTTTACTGTATTATTGATATTCTTGAGGCAAACTAATGCATTTTTATACATTTTTGCTTTGTATATCAACTGTCAAAAGCCATTCACGGTCACATGTATTTACAGAGAAAACCATTACAGCTTGTTTAGTCTTCTCTGCNGTCTACATAATAAATACGACGTGACTACAACAACTACAACAACAGCAGCAGCAACAACACCAAATGTGATAAACAAAGGTAGCTTCAGCTTCTGAAAGGTCGATTGATCTGGGATTTCCCCTGGCAAGGTAAAACAGATTTATTTCAACATCTGCATTAAAAGCAACTTGCTCTGTAAATGAATCAGAAGCACATTCATTCACATACACAGACTTTAAGAAGCTACTCACCAAAGATCTTAACTTCGATAGTTGACCAATCCATGCCACAGTTTGCATATATTTCAACTGTCACATTTTCCTCTTTCTTGGCTTGTGAGATGGTCAGTGACACGTAAGTCACTTCATCCCAAGAACAGCTGTACTCAGTCAAGTTACTGCTACATATGCTGGTGTCATTTGTGTTCGTCCAGTCATACGTTTCGCCTTTACAGTCCCCGTTTTTCAGTTTCCACTCGATGGTGCAATTCAGTGTCACAGTTTCTCCAGCTTTAACTTCCACTGTCTTGTTGCAATTCAGTGACACTACTGAATAAGAAAACAGTAACAATTGATATGATGTCTATGATGCTACTCTTAATGCATTCAGTGTATCTGTTTCTGGCACAAGCAGCACAAAAATACCTTCATCTGATGAGACACAGCTTTGTAGAACATAGAGCAGACTCAGACTTATCCACAGGCTGGACATCTTGGAGGATCCAGGGGCTTTGGAAACTGGAAGAAAAAAGAAACAATATTAAGAACTGATTGCCCCTGTATTGCTCTGCCTCAGAACAATTTGCTTTGCTCAGTTTGCTTCTTGGTCGGCTTGGCCTTTACTGCATGTCATGACCCTGCTCTGTCTCCCCAGTTTTTTGTTTTTCTGCACGGCACTGGTTGCAACAACAGGTGTAACATTAAAAAATACAGTTTATTGTACCATATGTTGTGTTTCTGCTGTTTCATTAACTCATTGTTTTATATTATAACATCACTACATGTGGACAGGGTTGACACAGTTTTGAAAACCATTATTTCAGCTGATATAAAGACAGGACATTTGGAGTAACCTGGACTAGTTATTTAGGGTATTTTTGAATGATGGGATTTCACGTTTTCATGCTTTATGGAGATTTTGACTCAGGGTGAGTGTTTTTTATGTCCACATCTTGCAAGTTTGCAAAAGAAATCTCTCTCCAAACAC